CTCAACACATATCTGTGAACTGTTACTTTGTCAAAGATAGAAAAGCAATCAGTGAAGAAAGGATATCTTTTCAATAAATGGTATCCTAACAACTGGATTTCCAAGGGGTGAGGGGGATTCCCCTAGCACCTTATGAAAATTTATTCAAAAATACCATAAAACTTCTAGAAGAAACATAGGAAGAAACCTTTGTAACCTAGGGATAAGCAAAAATAAAAGAGAACAAATTGATAAATTGGGCTGTGAAAGTTAAAAACGTATTCTTTAGAAATCACTTAAGAAAATGAAAAGACAAGTCACAGAGTGGGAGAAAACATTTGCAAAGCTATATCTGCCGAAGGACTGTGTTCAGAATATATAAAAAATTCTCAAAACTCATTAAGAAAACAATCAAGCACAAGAGCACGCACTTGCGTGTGCTTGTATTCTCTCATTCTCTCTCTCTCATATTCTCTCTCTCTCTCTCTCTCTCTCTCTCTCTCTCTCTCTCTCTCTCTCTCTCTCTCTCCAAATGGGCAAAACATCTCTACTGACTTAATAAAAATGGACTAATGAGAAATAAACACATGAAAATATTTGACATTGTTCTTTGTTAGGAAATAAAAATTGTAACAGAATACCACCACACATCTATTCTTCTTAATGAATGAAAATTTTAAAACTGACCAAAGTTTTTTTCAGGGGTATGAAGAATTGACCATAATACTACCATTAAGAATTATAAAATTATGGAACTATTTTAGAACAGTTTGGCCTTTTCTTTGAAAGTTAAACATACACTAACCATACTAATCAGTCTTTTGTACATAACTCTTCTTAGCAGTTTTATTTATAATAGCCAAAAATCTGCCAGGCACCGTGTGGTGCACACCTGTAATCCCAGAAGCTCAGAAGGCTGAGGGAGGAGGATTGTGAGTTCAAAGCCAGCCTCAGCAACATAGCAAGGCCCTAAGCAACTCAGCGAGACCCTGTCTCTAAATAAAATATAAAAAGGGCTGTGGATGTGGTTCAATCCCCAGAACCAATTAAAAAAAAAAAAGCCAAAAATCTGGGGGGGGGGGAACCAATGTCCACCAACAGGAGAATGAATAAATAAATTGTGGTATATCTATGCAGTAGAATGCTACTCAGAAATAAAAAGGAATGCATTATTGATAACCCAACAATGTGATTGGATCCTGCATAATTATTCCTAGTAAAATGAGGCAGACAAAAAGAATCCATACTTTCAATTCCATTTATATAAAGTTTGAGTGCAGACCTACCTGCAGTGGCAAAATCAAACCAGTGTTTGGTTGCCTAGGGAGCGGGGAGTACAGGAAGAAGCAAAAGGGACACAAGGAAGGTTTTTTTTAATATTTATTTTTTAGTTGTAGTTGGACACAATTTTTTATTTATTTATTTATTTTTATGTGGTGCTGAGGATCGAACCCAAGGCCTTGCACATGCTAGGCAAGTGTTCTACCACTGAGCCACAACCCCAGCCCCCACAAGGAAGTTTTGAGGAGTTATGTTGATTATTTTGATTGTGTTGATTATTTTGATTGTGTTGATTGTGTTGTGTCTATATAAGTCAAACTTTATCAGATTGTACACATTAAATACAGTTTATTATATGTCACTTATACCTCATTAATACTATTTACTACTAAAACAGAATCTTGTGGTAAACAAACCTCTAAACTCTTAATCACCCACCCATATATCATAAGTCCTTAGAGAAAATTGTCTCTGGTCTAATCCCCTTTCTTCTATTAAAATAATACTAAATAATCAGTGCAGTTCCAGCATCAGCATATTATTGACTGTGCCTTTTTGGATACCACCTGGTATGGTACAGCAGAAGAGTACATTTGTCCCACTTGACAAGGAAGAAAAGAAGCCAATGTACTAGACAAACTGAGTGCCTAGGATATTGGACTAAACAGACACAGTGATTTTTCTTGCTTACTGGAAATCTAGTCACCAGATTTCATTTTATGAATTCAATCAGCTCTTCATTTCTCCCTGCATTATGGTAGAAAGACATCTCAAAAAATTTCTTATTTCTTAATATCACATTCCAAATGTGGTATCTGTGTACTAATCAACCCAGCATCCAGGCACATCTGACTTATTTTTTCCACTGGAGAAATTCTCACATGCTTTTTACTTCAACTGTTGCTGAAGAGTGAAAAACAAAGTTGTTCTGCATCTTCTTTTCCATTTCTAGTAGACTGGGCCATGAACCTCAGTTTAGGGGCAGATTTTTCTTTTTATCTCTTTTTCAATCCCAGGCAGTTAGCAACTGCAGGCTCCCCTGTGGCACACACACAAGAACAAACACTTATCCTTTGATGCTAAGTACCAATTCCAATCCTAGAAGGGGCAGTACCAGAGGCTTCAGAAAAGTGACCTCTCTGACATAATTATGGAGGGCAGGGTTTGTGGTGAGGTCAGTCCTCAGTATAGTGGTCTGTGAAAGAGGTTTTTTTCTACTTGTAGAGGAGGCTTGTGGTCCTAACATGATCCCTGAAATGCCTATAGGTTCATCTTAAGGTCACATTCATTATCGTTTCCATTCTACTTTACTTCAGAAGTGAGTTTTCAAAATTATATTCCTGAGCATATTAACTATCAGAACCAACAAGAAAAGACACAGTTGTGAAGCAAGAGGTTTCTATGGAAATAACCATTGAGAAAAGTGTTATTTGGGGTTTAGTTTAAAAAGGTTTTATAAGTGTTTCTAGAACTAATTGTAGACTAGGTCAATAGAAAAAAAAACCCTGAACTCTTCTTCCCCAGAAACGATGATCTGAGGGCTGGCTTTAACTGCAGGTTTATTCCAGGCACTGTGGGGGCAATTGTCCTTTAAGTGCACCCTGCCTGAGTATACTGTAGATTTCTCCTCTCAGATGATTGGCAGCCAAGTACCATCTTCAGTTGCCCTGTCTCCTTATCCTTCTGGGCCGCCACTATCTGATCATCCCCCTCTCCATCATGTGTACACTGGCTCCATGGAAGATGACCATTGATTGCAAACAAGGAGCTCAAACTAGAAAGCTTTATATTGCAGTAAAGGATAGGTTAGGGGGAGACTTGAATCTGGGCACCTCTTAAGGAAGTGAACACCAGAGAACTAGTCCAAGTGGAGTTCTAACCCAGGGCTATCTTCTAGTGTACCTGTATATCAATAGGGGCAAGCATTTGAATGAGAATTGTGTATTAAAGGACATGGTTGACAGTTGATACAAACATCTAACAAAGCAAGGAAAGAAAATATTTTGTGTTTATTTTTCCTTTGTGGAAATAGAAGAAAGTATTACTAATTCTAATAACCACTTATTTTTATTTTTATGCCCAGAGATAATGCTGCAAGGCAAAATGTTGAACCTTAAATGTGCCAGATTGACTTAAGTTTTATTTAATTATAACCACAAACTCTTCAAGTGTACTTAGTCTTTATAATTGTTCCTCATATACCATAATCACAGGAAACCCATGGTATCTAATCCCTTCATTTTCACTGGTGAGAAAACTCAATACAGATGTTTATAATTCTAACAGTCTAGAGGATGACACACTACCCAACCACGGAGAACAAGGCTGGGAAACAGCCTCACTGTGTGCAGGCCTGTTGCCTAGGTTGCAGACTCTCTAATCTTCCTAAAAACCAATTTCTTTTACATTGCTTACATTAATCTAAAATTTTAGATTAATGAAAAAGCCAATACGAAAATTTTGTAAAAAAAAAAAAATACTTTGCTCGTCACAGAAAACTAGGTTTTTAATCAGACGATAAACTTTGATAAATCAATCCACATCATTATTTAAAATGCCTACTGTTCTGTTGGACAATCAACATATTATACACATGGCTGCTCACCTCAGCTGATTGCTTGTGGGTCTATATGGCCAAATTAAACATGGAGAGGAAAGCTAACATTTATTCATTTGAAATAGCTCTTAAGCAAACACGATGATGATTGGAACTTAACCAATTTCAGATGATTATGAGAGATTGTTTGAACATTGCAGCAGCAAGATCACCCAGTGGACCAGGGAGTGTCACAAGGTCATTATCCTGCCTTCTGCCAATATAAGAAGGCTCCATAGCATCTGAATATAGCTGGTCTAAAATATTCTATAGACATACAGTGACCCAGTGACTTCCAAACATTGCCTTGCCCTCTCCCTCTCATATCTTTCCTTTGTCCTTGTTCCTGTGTCCAGTGACCTTGCTGCCTAATTTACAAATGAAAAATAAAGTTAAAAGGCATAAGCTCCTCCCCCTTCCTTTGGCATATGAACATACCTTTACCTACTCCCCCATCCCTCCTTGTTTCTAAGATTGTTCCTATATCTGAGCCTCTTCATTCTTGCTTTTCCAGGGCCTTACTCTCTCGGTTATTATATTAACTCTTTCTCTAAAATTGTTCTCTTTACTGGCTCCTTCCAAGTTGCACACGTATTTTTGTTGTTGTTGTTGTTTTTTGTTTTTGTTTTTTGTCTAGAAAATATCTCTTACTTTCCCCTTAAGCCACCACTTTCTCTTCCCAGTTCTCTCATTACCAAAATTCTGAAGTACAGTTTTTCTTACATTTCACACTATAACACCACAAATGCCTGGAAAGCAAGAACTCTAACTTACATTACTTTCTGTCAGCATGCCTCCCATGGTGTAGTGTGGGAAGTGGACACAGACATGAAACATAACAAATCACGATTCCCATTTGGACTCAGTAGTTACTATTGAGTAACTTAATCTTGCTGATCCCAAGCCTCTTCAAATGTAAAATGATAGCAGTAATGCCTGTCCTACAATGGTGCAAAAAGTAAATAAGATTTTTTATAAAACCTTTCATATGGTGGCTGGCATATAGTAGATGCCCAGAAGAGCACCTGCTTCCCATCTCTACCCATAGTGAAGATTCATTTATTGAATGAATAACCCAATGATGATCTCAGCAGGCATTTGTTTTTTGTTTTGTTTGATTCTTACTCTTCTTCCCTTGTTTCAGGTTCACAACCAGTATCCAGCTGAGTTTGAATTCAATCTCTATTACTTAAAGTTCTTGGCCTTCCACTATGTATCTAATCGTTTTAAGACATTTCTCCTGGATTCTGACTATGAAAGATTAGAGCATGGTACGTATTTATATGTCCTTGTTCTATCCGTTTTATTAGTTTTGCATGTTTTTAATGAAAACTCTAAACCAGGAATGGTGGCACACACCTGTAATCCCAGCGGCTCGGGAGGTTGAGACAGGAGGATCATGAGTTCAAAGCCAGCCTCAGCAATGGTGAGGCACTAAGCAACTCAATGAGACTGTCTCTAATAAAACACAGAATAGGGCTGGGCATGTGGCTCAGTGGTTGAGTGCCCCTGATCTCAATCCCTGGTGCCCCTGCCCCCCAAAAAAACCTCTAATGGTGTAAGTACTCCCAAATGAGACAGTTAGGAGTTAGGGTTTTACTACAAACTACCAATGTAGAGTGGATATGAACAACTGCAAGATTCTGAGATTGTGGTCTGTGTTAGTTCTTAAGAACAGCAGATGCTCATTCCTCTGTAGCACCTTTGTAAAGTTAAATCTGCTTACTATTTTGATACCTCTAAGTGATACTATGTTAGGAAAAATGTTTGACTCAGTTTTTTCTTCCAATGGTACACTTTGATAGGAAGGGTTTGAATAACAGCTAACACTGGGAACTCTGAAACAAATAAACCAGGGTTAAATTCCATTGCTGCCAATTACCAGCTGTGTATTTGGGGGGAATTGGGTATGTCTCTGAGCTTCAGCTTCTTCATCATTAAAATGGGGACAGTTATAGCCCACCCTTTAGGACCATACTGATAACATGAGGAAATAGTTGTAAATGTCTTAGCACAGTCACTAGCACATAGTAAGCACTCATCAAATTTTAAATGTCACTATCATTACTATAATTTGTAACAGTTATAGTAGTAGCACAAAGTAGATTCTGAAAGCCCCAGTGAAAACATTTCCCAATGGGGATTTTATATTCTTCTTTTGTTGTTATGGAGCCGGGAAAAATACACATGACTTTAAAAAAAAAAGGCGATATTCAGTACATTAGATGTACCAGAATATTCACAAAGAGGACTCTTAGTGACAAAATATTTACTGATGTTCTCAGTTTAAAATCTGAAATTATGAAATACTGTTTTCCAGGGTGTGCTTATTACAGTTGTCTAGTATGATATTTCATACTTTTGGTAAGGAAGACAACACTGGTCAGACCACTTCCCATCCTGTTTGTACTTTCAGACCTTTGTTGACTCATGGAATTGCCATTCCTCACATCACAATAAGAAACAAAATTTCTTAAGAACCGTGTCTTAGAAAGATATTCATTACAGCTAGTTAACAGCTGCATGGGGCCTGGTCTTTAAGCCAATTGATCTGTGTGACTGAGGGGGTCACCAGTCACTCAGCTTGTCACTAAAAGGAACAACATATTTTAATATTGTTGTGAGTAAAGTACAGTTGTACAGAATAGTTTGTTTTGATTTTTGGTTTTTTAAATAAGGTAGTTTGTTTTGTTAAATTAAGCTTAGTAGCATATTACCTTTAGCCACATGCAGATGTGGCCAAAACCTTCTGTGGATTATGACTCTCTTCATTAAAAAAGCAACAAAGCCTACTGTACTGGTTCTCAGAGTCAACCGAACATTAGAATCACCTGGGAAACTTTTAAAACTCCCAGTGTCCAGGCAGCACTTCCCAACAGTTGAATCAAAATCTGTGATGATGGAGACTGGACACCAACAGCTTTTTAAAGCTCCCAGGTGCTGCCAAGGTTGAGAAGAACCACTGGCCCAGTGAGGAGAATGCCAAACTAAGGCAGAAAATGATTGGGACACTGGGGAAACTACTTCATCTCACCTTAAAAGTCCACTCTCCAACCCCTCAGTTTCCTCTTCTGGAAACTGGTCAAGGATATTTGCTTTCCTGTCACACAGAAAAAGATTAATAAATAAAATGAAGTGAATAGAAATTTGATATGTATTGAAAGATGATCATAGTTGTTTGATATGATAATTTTGTGTCCTAGATATGTTTTCTCTTAAGACACATAATTGCATTTAGTATCCTAGAGTGATTATTGAAGGGTCCTTAAAGTTCATTTGCCCAGTCATCTCCCTGAATAGATGGGCTACCCAATAGCCACTCACCTAATTAGCATCAAAGAAGCCTGGTTTTAAGTCTCCAGTCCAGACTGGGCTACCTACTTTGGAGGCTGTTCCTGCTGTGTTTGGGTGGATGCACTAATTATCAAGCCTACACAGTAAAACATCATTTAGGAACAGCTGTGGCAACTACCTCCACATCCAAGATCAACAATTAGAGAGTAAAGCATCTCAGCCACAGCTGGAGGAATTCATCAGTCATAATACTTATTTCATCAGAAAAGCCTGAACACCATGAACTCTCCTGTGTCCCAGAATTGTAATTTGTTGATTATTATATACCGGATTATAAAATTATAATTTGACAGGATCTGACACTAGTGCCTGATGCTTCAAACTGTTCTTTTCTTTCTTTCTTTTGTTTTGTTTTTTATGTTGATGGACCTTTATTTTATTCATTTATTTAAATGTGATGCTGAGAATCAAACCCAGTGCCTCACACATGCAAGGCAAGTGCTCTACCACTGAGCCACAACTCCAGCCTTCAAAAACTCTTCTTAAGATGTTCCCTATATAGTGCACATGCTGCCCTAAGACAGTCATCTGGAAGGCCAGATCTCACACCTTCTCTTCCAGCTTCAGCTCATTTTCCTCCTATCTACATAAGTATCCAAAGTCTATTCCACCTGGAGCTAACTGCCCCACAGCCCTTCAATATAATCCTTGCCTCCTCCCAAATGGAGCTATGAAGGGACCTTAAAAGTCTACTCTCCAACCCATAGAGTAGTCTGAATTTTGAACACTGGACTAACTTGGAGAACTCCCAAAATGAATAATATCTGGGGACTGTCGCAAAGATCCTGATATAATTGAACTGGAGTAGACTAGAGCGTTGGGTTTTTTTCTTTTTTTTAAGCCCCTGATTTTTCTAATGTGTGACGAAGATTGAGAACTACTCCACTGGACCCTGCATTTATAAGATAGAGGGGAGAGAAAAAAATTAGAGAAGAAAACATTCATTAGTCTTGGAGGCCCCATGTATTATAGGATTTCACATAGCCTTGGACTTGAGGCATTCTTTTCTGATAAACTGGTAAAATGCTTGTTGACTTTTGACTGAGTCATTTCATTCAAAGCAAGACAGCACTGCTGAGACACTCTTCCTGGACCTTTACAGAAATCCCTCCTGTCTCACCCTGACACATCTTCCTCCTTGGTTTTTGGGGAGTTTTTTGTTTGGTTTTTTTTTKGGGGGGGGGTGTTTGTTTTTTTAAAGGCTCATGTGAGCAATCAAGTGACTTTTGAAAGGTACAAAAGTGAAGTAGTACCCTGAGTTCTGCTTTCAGGTTACCTAGTGATATAGAACATGACCTTCTGTCATCCCAAGTCTCTGTGACCATAATTTGCATATATATAAACTACTAACATTTTAAATGGCTTTGTTAATAAACAGCCAACAACTTTAAAAGGAAAAATAAAATTATGTTTTTAACAGAGTTTCATCAGATAAATTCATAAGGTCTTCCATTTTCTATTGGAAAATGTATAGAATGTCTCCTGGCAGGACCTCTATGACTATAGATGCAGATTTTACAACATAGAGTGAAGGAGAATAACTTCCTAGGAAAACCTTGCCTATGTTTTCCTTCCACTTTGATTTGTTCTCATATAGCTGTGAAGTTCCTTTCATCTTTAGTTTGCAGTTATTTTCTAAGGTTTCTGCACATATGTTGCTATTTTTAGAGTCATAAGAAGTGTTTCACTTTTTCATCTCTCAATGCATCACACTTTAGGCAAAAGTTAATGTATTTAACTTTAATTTTGTTGGATTTTTTTTAATTTACAGGAACTTTATTTGATGATAAAGGAGACAAGCATGCCAAGAAAGGAATTTGTATTTGGGAGTGTATTGATAGAATGCACAAGAAGAGTCCCATTTTTTTTAACTATTTATATTCACCAGTGGAAATAGAGGTAAAGTAAGAAATCATTTGTGTTTCATTTTCTAAATATTTTGTGTTAARGTTTTCCTTCATTTTAGTGTATATAAATTTTTATAAATATTGGACAAGGTTTCATGCCAAAAGCTATTTTAGTTTGGGTTTGGGTTATGATGGAAATGGAGAATGAATGCTAAAATCTTGCCACAAAAATTAGGATCTGGCCCCTAAAGTCTAGAAAGGATATCAGAATCAAAGAAAGGCAAGTTCTCTTAGGTGGTTTAGGCTGAAAAATCTAAAAGCTTTAGGAAAAGCTTTCCAAGTCCATCTTACCAAACCCATGGAAATACTCCTTTGTGATACAGAGATTTTTGGTGCCCAACTCAAGAAGGATGACGTATCTCAGGACAACAGTGTTTTGTTGTGTGCATCTGTATAATAAGGCTCTAGGATGGAACAGGAGCATTTGATAGGCAGTACTATCCTTATTTAGGAGCAAAAGAAGTCCCTTCCCTGGGTGCCCTGCATTAGAATCCCAGTTGCACCCTCCTCCCCTCCCAAGGTAAGGAGTACAAGAAACCAAGGCACATCTCTCCTCATCTAAGCCATGCTCTGGGTACCTTGAAATTCCCAAATTCAAGGAGTTTGCCTACTCACCAGGCTACTTTTCCCAGTCTAGGCCCAAGGTTGGTGTGAGAAGTAGCTCCTCAGCAGAGGGAAGACAGAGTCTGTACATAAACATTCATGTAAGGCCAGGATGTGAGGAAAAGCTTAAGCCAAGGACTGGGAGCAGAGGCTAGATCCCCCAGTGCTACCACTTCCTAGGGTACAATTCATCTTGATGTATAACTTTTAATGTTCAGGTGAATGATACTTGAAACTCCATTCACATGCTTGCCCGGGCCCCTGCAAATGTTAGTAAGCTTGGGGTACTTTGATCAATATGAAACTATATTTCAGAGTTTTCTTTAAACAGGCCCTGAAGCCCAATGTAAACATCTCCAGCCTCAAGAAGTGGGACTACTACACAGAGGAGACCCTGTCCACAGGGCCTTCATATGATTGGATGATGCTGACTCCCAAGCACTTCCCCTCTGAAGAGTCTGATCTGGCTGGAGGAGCGGGGCCCCAGAGCCAAAGGAGAACAGTGTGGCCATGCTATGATGATGTCAGCATCATTCAGCCCGATGCTCTCACCAGACTTTTTAGTGTAAGTCAGCTTGTGCAGGCACACAGGGCTCACCCTGGGAACACACCGGGGCCTTAGGAACCAAGCAAAGCAAAGGCTGGCTCATAAACTTCTGAGCATGGCTTTCCTAGTGTCATAGATAGCACTCCAAAAATCTGAAGAAACCAGACTTGCTCCCCTATATCAGTGGGGTACAGGCTTAACCAATGAAAAGATTTTCAATAAAAGTCAGCTTCCTGCATTTCAAGGAAGCAGTTGACCAAAAGGAGTGATTTGCTCCTTCTGAGAGCAGCTGTTTTAGCTGCCCAAGCATCCTGAGTCAGGCCTGGGCTATGGCTTTTGTGGGTGCTTTACTTCCTCTGGTCAGAAGTGTGGGTAGCTGATGGCCTGATGGGACTGCTGCCAACTACCTTCTGCAAGGAAAATTCTGGAGCACAGCCATCCTGGCAGTAGCTACCCTGAGGAATGGTTTTGAGTCCTCATGTGGTCCAGACGGTTCCTAAAGAGTGCTCTCCCTCTGGTTTTCTGGGCAGGTACAGTATGCAGCAGTGATAGCACTGTACCAGACCCCTATCAGAAGGGAAATCCATCTCTTTGGGCATTTCTTGGTTCATTCTTTTCACATCTACTTTGAGTCATCAGAGTTGAGGGGCTCCTCTGTCAAGGACAGACTTCACATCTATCTCAGCCATTAGGGTTAGGACACAGGCCCAGTGCTTGACCATTTACTTTGCCCATCAGATTTCTCATGGGTTGCCCAAAGATGAAGGTGAATAGGATATATATTTTATCTCTTGCTTTTTAAGCCTGTCTTTAAAAAAATAACCTGATTATGAGTCCYGATAGATCATCTTCATCACAGTGAATCATACCAACTCATGCGCCTACCACTCTTCCTGGCTTGGGAAACCTCTGAGGCCCCACATATATGACTTTTTTTAAACTGTCCTCTGCCATGCTGCTCATCTGGGCCCAATACAGAGGAAATATGGCTCTGGGGCACATCCTGACTTCTATGAAGTACTGATCTGTCAGAAAACTTCATTTATTTGCAGGAAATTGAAAAATTGGAGCATAAATTGAACCAAACCCCTGAGAAATGGCAGCAGCTGTGGGAAAAAGTAACCATGGACCTTAAAGAAGATGCAAGAATAGACGGGGTGAGTTGGCAGAGCCCCTGAGGAGCTAATTCTTAGCTTTTGAGGGGACTAGGTCAGGTGGGACCCACTGCCCCACCAAGAGGACTCTGGATTTATGGCCAGAGGGAAGATGGAAAAGGGAGGGGTCATGCCCTGGGGGTCCAGGGCAGAAAGTTCCAAATGACTGAATATTTCCTGAGTGTCTCACCATACCACAGTGACATAATACTTAATGTTTCAGGGCACTGAATCCAGGGAAAATTACTATCCCRGTGTCACTGTGGTTTCAATTGATCTTCTACCACATGAGGGAGGAGGAGAATGCCAAGGCCATGTTTGCTCCAGAGAAATAAGCATAGAAAATGAAAATATTTTAAAATGACAAAATATGCTGCTTTCTATTCCTCACACTTCCTTTTCTGTTTCTGATTTAAGAAGCATTTATCATAGAAATGTTTTTAAACCAAATACTCTGTTTTCTGCTTCTCACATCCCATTTCCTGTTTCTGATTTAAGAAACACTTATCAGGCACATAATATGTGCAAGGGACTGTGCTTAGTAGCAGACACATTTACATCCTGTCCAGTCCACAGTGAGGAGGGTCCCACCTCATACATGAAGAAGCAGGCAGAGATCTCACAGCTAGTAATTGGTAGTACCACCATTCAAATTCACATCAGATTGGTTCCAAACATATCAGAAAGGAAATTAGGACAGATGAGTATTCACAAGAGCATTTCAGAAAGGAAAGGTCAAGAGGAGTKGAGTGAGAAGAAAACCTTTGGTAAGGAGGGACCCTCCAGGCTCTGTCTCGAGCCTCAGTACTTAGGTGCTGATAGCACATAAGCCATGGGCAATGCCTTTATGCTTTTTTCCTCAGAAAGATAGTTTCTTGATATTTTTCTGATTATTAAAGTAAGGTATTTTTTAAATAAGATAAGTCACAGCAAGTTATAAAACAGAAGATGAAAATCACCCATAATTTATAACTTGAAATAAACCACTGTGCTCTCCCAATTGTTTCATCATTCTAAGCCCACAGACAAAAGCGATTGACTTTTACATGCTGTTTTTTAACCTGCCTTCTTTTTTACTTAATGTTGGCATACGTGTCCTGTATTTGCCACCATGTATAAGTCAGCAGCATCATTTTAGTGACTGTCTAGAACATCATGTACARAAATAACATTTTAACTGGTCCCTTGATAATGGATATTAGAGAGTTTACAGTTTTTATTTTTAAACAGCCCCAAGATAAGTGTCTTTGTACATACATCATTGCTCATAGTCCAGTTTTTTCTCTTGAGATAAATTTGCATAAGTGAAATGATCAGGTCAGTTGCTTAAAGTCTCTATAAAGCTTTCTTAGCACCTGTTCCTTTGTTTTCAGCCCCAACGATACCCATCAGGGTCCCCAGGAATTGTGTCTACGAACCTACCTTCCTATCAGAAGAGACCTGTGTTGCACCTCCCGGACAGTAGCATGGGCGAAGAGCATAATGCCAGCATCTCCCCATCCAATGGGGTGGAGCGAAGGGCAGCCACCCTCTATAGCCAGTACACCTCCAAGAACGATGAGAACAGGTGATGTGCTGAGCTCTGCTGAGTCTGCTAAGACTCCCCTTGCTGCCCTAAGCTAATCCACAGGCCTCTGTGACAGCCTGTGCACTACAGCCTTTTGTAAACTTGAAACAGATTAGCTTGAATTCTTTTTTTTTTTCCTCAGTGCTTTAGATGGTTCTTTGAAGAGGAAAAAAAATGAACCTTACAACTAAAAATAATGCCAAGAGGTTATAGTTATTTGTGGTTGTTTCCTGATTGTTATTATCTCATGTCTGCCAGAGCTTTTGAGGGAATGTGTGTTAGTCAGCACTTTTTTTGTGGCACACATAAGAAATCCAGCTCATGCTAGCTGAAGCAAAAGGAATTTACTCACAGAAACTAGGACAGCCAAAGGSATGCTGGTTTCTTACACAGTGTCTTCAGGCTCTGTCTGTTTCCAACTGTGCTTTTCTCTCTGTGTTACACTAATCCCAGCATAGCACAGAAGGTGGCTGTTAACAGCTCCTAACCTCACAAGKATGATGAGCGCAGCAGAAAAAGGCAGTCCCTCCCCAAAGGTCTAGTACCAAATTCCAGGGAGAATTCTGACTGTCCTTTTTGTGGATCACATAGAGGAAATAGAGACATAGCAAAAACAACAGATGTCTCCTTTATCACATTTTCTAAGTAAAAAATTAAAATTACTTTGTTGTCATTTCTCCTAGGTCCTTTGAGGGAACACTTTACAAAAGAGGGGCTTTGTTGAAAGGTTGGAAACCACGTTGGTTCGTTTTGGATGTAACAAAACATCAGGTAATACTGTTAACGCCAGAAGAAATTACTTCTGTGGGGCTGGTCTCAATCCCTGGCTATTATTTGGCTCTCAACAAACAGATACATTCCTCATGTACAGACTGCTGTCCTAAAGTCTCTCAGATGCAGCCTGGGGGCTCCTCCAGGGCCCCTGATTTCCCTAGTAACTTTCTGAGGGAAATTCCAAAGKAGAGGCACATTCACTCAGAGGCAGTGAATTGAGTCCAGAGCACTCAGAGAGCACAACTCTTTTTAATGCTTGAAAATCTCCTGTGTCCGACCTTAAAGCCCAGGTCAGGAAGCACTGAGGTCTCAGCCTGTTGCATGTGTACCATATGCACAAATAGGCCTGTGCGCGTGCCACAGAATTCAGATACCTTTCATCCTCACAGCAAACATCCAGCCATGACTGAGAGTGTTAAGCCACTCAGGAGATGTTTACTACACCCCACTTCTGTGCCCATCACTGTACTGGTTACTGAAGAAGGCATTGCTATCCCTCAAAGATGGTAGCAACAGGAGAGGGGAGGGGAGGGGAAGAGGAGGCCCTACCCAAACCTGGAATTCACAGTGGTCAGGTATTAGACTTGACCTTGCTGACCACATTAGGGAACCTTCTTCCATTGTTAGATTCTTAGCTATTATTCTCACAACTAAAGATTATTAGCCTTAGTGTCATAATCTTTGCTCCAGGGGTTTCAAAGGAGAGAGATCCATACTCAAACCTCCCACCTCTCCTCTCTGCACCTTTTATTACTGAGAGCTATGTGGCCTCTCCTTCTGACCAAAGGCCAGACAGCCTGAGGCAAAGGGTTGGTGCTCATTCTCACACATTCATCCAGGCAGACTTTGAGAAAGTGCTGAACTATTACCCTCTAATGCTCCCATGGGATCTGCAGCTAGAAGATGATTATATTTGGGGCCCACTTTTTCCTCTGCTCAAGGGGTTTCACAAAAGTTACAGAGTCTTTATTCGATAACTTATTCTCACATATACAAATGGAAGCCCCCTTAGGGGGACTGTACTTTAAAGGTGTCTCTGAAATCATAGAGCCTACACTGTGCAGAAGAGTCCATTAAACCACTAAATACAACATAGGAGAATGTCATAATTTTTCCATAATTTAAAATTACACCAAATTATACTTGCATTCTTACCAATATTTTGGATTTCTTTAACATGAAAGGTAGATAGTTTTTCCATTTAGCTYTGCTCATACCACTTCTGAGTGGAGAGACAGAAAAGTCTGAGGCCAGAACAGCAGTGACAGAAACAGCAGACACATTCCTGTCATGTACAGTGAAATCCACRGGCTGTATTTCACCAGCAGGCTCTTTAACTTTTAAAATATTTTTTTCTTTCTTTCTATTCCAAAACCAATGCATGTGTTATTAGACCAAATTCAGATATTTCATAAAGATCCAAAAGTCCCCAATGCAATCAAGTGTTAAGCTGTTGTGTTCTACAGAAATTATTTTATATCTATATGCCGTTTGGCAAACTTGCTTTTTAAAAATAATGTATCTTGAACAATTTTTCTACCAGTTTATAATAGAAGTCTTCCTTGTTCTTTTTGGAAAGCCATCTAGCATATTCTATTTTATTGATGGTTATTATTTAATCAACCAAGGTTCCACCGAAAGAAAAGGACCTCTTTTCTGATGCTGAGCTAATGAATGCAGTGGGGAAGAAAAGCCCTTTATTTCTGTGTCTGTAGGATAACTTTGTAGAGCTGGGAAAGATGTTCAACAGACACAGACATTTTCAGTTTTAGTTGATATTGCCAAATCGTTTTCCACAAAGATTTCTAACAAATTATATTCCCATTAACAGCATTCAAGAGACCTCATTGTCTTGCTGGGTAATATCAGCCATTTTTAATATTTTTCAATCCAAATGAAAAGTGAAATCTTAGTCATTTCATTTACTTTTCTCTGATCAGCAAAGTTGGTTATCTTTTCAGATGTTTATAGGTCTTTGTCTTTCTTCTCTGACTTGCCTATTTTTTACTAGCTTAGGACACTAAACACCTTTGTTATATGTTGTGTATTTCTTAATGGTTGTTAGCTCACTATTTTTTATATGTAACATATTTACCTGCTCAAATTTCAAAGAAGTTCATGCATCTTGTGCCCACTTCCTTCTCCCAGCACTAGTTCTTCCTAGAGTCAATCAGTGTGTATTTTTTTTGCAGATATAAGCACAAGACAGAGAAAACAATCAGATACATTTTGGAAAGCCATGCCATTTTCCCTTTCTATGTCTTTCACATCCTATCTGATTCCCTTTGATTCTAGCTGCGATACTACGACTCAGGTGAAGACACGAGTTGTAAAGGCCACATTGACCTGGCAGAAGTAGAAATGGTCATCCCTGCTGGCCCCAGCATGGGAGCCCCAAAGCACACGAGTGACAAGGCCTTCTTTGATGTAAGTTGATCTTATTTCTCTTTTGGTGACTCAGCCTGCACATCATTCCATTGGCCTTCAAGACACTATGGGGCCCCCAGAGCAGTTGGTGGTGACTGCAGAGGAGTAACAGACCTTGGCTGTGGGGAGTACTGAATTTGAAATCAGCACTGTGAACCCAAGCCTGACCTCTCTGAGCTGTCCATGCATCTCAGATCCACACAGGGAAGCCAACAAACTCTTTCAAAATGCTGTTAGTCATCTCAGTAACCCTCACTTTCAAGGACAGATGCCACTTCCTCCATATCCAGTGGTCTTTCAGCTTGAACCTCCACAGAAGGCTGTCCTTGGTCACACATGATAATTGTCTGCCCTAATATCTTCAGGGGACTGAAGGTGGGCCTTAGGGCATTTTATGGGCCACAGGACAGAAGGTGACTTGTCTAATCCCTGGAGTCAAGCAAGTCTTCATAAAAAGCAGAGGTCATATTCCAGGGTCCCGATCAGGCCAGGAGACCATTTCCTTGTCTCTTGGCTTCCATTATGGCCCCAATTGAAGAAAAGGACACAAAGGCCAACTACATAATAAGGATGACTCTTGGGCTTTCCCCCTGAGCTCCCTCACCCATACTACATTGGTGTGATATGTGAGAGAAGCCAGAGACTCCAGCCAGTCCTGATCCTTACCCCCAGTCAAAGGTGGCCCCAGGAATGCATACAGTCTCTCTTGTGTCCCCAGTACCTATCTATTAACATCCCCTGTGACTTTGGAAACTAGAAAAGTAAAGAGACCATAAAGGCAGCGACAGTRTGGTAATGGAGAAAGAAAAAATAGAGGTGCTGGGGCAGTATGGAAAGGAAGGTTACAGGGATTGATTTGCCACTTGCCAAAGCCATAAAACAACCCTGCCCTTGATCTCTGGTTCTCTGTCATTTGGTTTTTTAGCTCAAGACCAGCAAGCGTGTGTATAATTTCTGTGCCCAGGATGGACAGAGTGCCCAGCAATGGATGGACAGGATCCAGAGCTGTATCTCTGATGCCTGATACCTTGGTCAACCCAAGAAAAAGGAGGAGAGGAATTCCTGCTGCCAGATAGAAAAAAGGCACGAATCCTTGAAGAGCAGGCAGCGAGTCATCCCAGGGCATGGCCTTCTCTTGCCTGGTCTTACCCAGGTCCTCCTTACAGCAGTTACTACGTCCACTTCACCTGAATGGGTGTGTCACACAGCCTGGTCAAGAGCACCAGGCCCTTCCTATGTCTTGCACTGAATTGTTCTAACAGGGTCTTAGTGGTTAGGGATCAGAAGAATTCTCCTGAACCTGCTCTCATCCATCCTCTAGGCAAAATGGCCACTACCTACTTGAGTCCTTTATGAAGGTCCTTTTTGTTCTCCAAGGTCATAATTTCCTTGGAGAACTCTTTAATAAGCAAAAATCAAAACCCTCCAAAGATCATCTTACATCCTACATAGAGTAGGTTTCCCATCAARACACCTACTCTTATGCCTGACCTTTGAGATGCTCAGTTCTCTGGTGCTACCAAAAGGTGCTTCCTTGGTCCTTGCTCTGCTATTGAGGTTCCCAGTGAGAGACATTATTGATCATTAACAGGCAAAGAGGGAGCTCACAGGATTATCCTGATAGAAAAAGCTTGCCCAGGGAATGATGCAGCGATGACCAGGCCAATGCAGGAAATGCTGCTTCCAAAACATGGAATCCTCTAGACTAGAGGTGGTCTAAGGATGCAGGGCCTGTGTTCCTGTGTGTTCTTCTGCTCCCTGACAGCTTCTTACACAAAATAACATGCAGAAAGCTGCATGCACTAACCCACAAACCCTTGCACTGAGCTCCTAATCAAGTGAAGATGTTGGAAAGATGGCAGCCAGCTACTTAGAGCCACACACCCCTGACAAGCACATGCTGCGGCAGGGCTGACACCCACACAGCACTTCTGCACATGAAAATAAGAACTGCCCTTAGGTTCTCTTTATTTTGACAGCCTTGTGTTTGTTCATCCTGAGGCCCAAGGATCTTGTTTGCTCTCGGTGAGCAGGAACAGCCTCTGCTGCCTCAGCTGCTCTGCCCTAGGTAGCTCCATCACTGCGTTTGTTTTGAAATGTTAATATGTTAAATACCAAACTAATATTTCAAAAATATGTATATATGATTTCTATATCTTTGTTTTTCAGATAGCCTGCTTATAATTTAATATAAAATTAACTAAACTGATTCATTCATAAGATTTTAGTAATGAAAAGTTCCCTTTCTAAGAAAAAGCTACTTTGTAGGTTAAAATAAGTCAGATTTTCAAATTTAAAATTGCCTATACAGTAGGACATAGAAATGTGTTAATATATAAGAAATTGGGGAATAATAAGAATGAAGGACTTTTCTATCATACTCATTTTATAAATTTGCCACCTGTGAAAATGGTTTTGCACATTATTTGTACTTTTCTTTGTATATGAAATAATTTTTTGTACTTTGTAAAATATGGAGCCCATTGTACTTTCAGCAATTTGAGACTGTACACAGTGCTTCTTTTGTAACTGGATTATTTTAACTTTCATGAAGGCATTACATGCCTTACGTTCACTAACCACCTTGAATTAAATTTATTTCTTAAGAAAYAGCATCCTTCTTGGACTGTGAAGTGACATTTGTTCTGCAGTGCACAGCCCTCCAAAGGGAAATGTTCAGGCCTTGTCATGGAATGGAAGGTTCAAGGATAAAACATAGCCCACTTGGGCCTTRGTTCTGCCAATGTCATTGCTGCCCTTTGCTCAGGAGTAACAGATGCTGGACACACTGTCCTGAGCTTCTGGGTTCTGGACACTCTTCTGCAGTGTTTAAGAAGACACCTCAGGCCAATGTTCTCACTCCCACTGCCACCCTACCACCTGCTCTCCTGAGCTGTGAGAGACTGGAAGAGTCCCTTACCTCCTCTGGGTCACAGTCTTACCACCTATGGTAGGTGGCCATTTGTGAAGATTTTCGGCATAAGCCATTGAAGTCTTGCTGGGTAGCAGACTGCTGCTTCCGTCTCCAAATCTCTRTTCATGAGTTTTTATAACCCGATGCTCTCCATCCCCTGAAGCTGAAGAGCCCAAAATCTCCCACCCTCTATTCACTTGTTCTGTCTTTCTGGTGACCAGCCCCCCTCCCAAAGCTATCCAGCGGCCCTACCCTAAATCATCTTACAGCATGAACTCAGGTGGGGTTGAAAAGGGCACATTTTAAATAACAAGACAACAGAGGAAAGTCTAAGAGTTTTAGCAACTGTGTCTTATGAGCCCAGGACAAAGACCAAATTTTTTTTCATMTACCTCATGTTTTCATAGCAATGTATACTGTAGCACATATTTCAATACAACCATATTTCCACGGCTATCATTCTAGACAATAGATTTAGAGCAATTAGCCTGCTCTTAGCAGAGCCTGCMGTGGGAGAAGCTGGGTTCCAGTGCTGGCTCTCTTGTAATTCACTCTGTGACCTTGAACCAGTCCCTTCATTCTGCTGGGCTTTAGCCTATGAAATAAAAGACCCAGGGGTTGGGGGTGTAGCTCAGTGATAGAGCACATACAGTCCTAGGATCAATCCCCAATACATACACACAACAAAAATGAGGGATCCAGGTGGTCTGTCACATTGTGATTCCAAATGTTTACCTTGACAAGGACTCAAGTTCCAAACTGAGATTTAAAAGATTTGCTGGAGAAAAATAAATAAATCAGTGCTTCTCCAATGCTAATGCTCTTATAAACCATCTTGTTAAAATGAAGATTCTAGGGCCTGGAGGTGGCAGAGCATGTGCTTAGCATGCACAAGGCCCTGGGTTCAATCCCCAGCAGCAACAACAACAAATGATCTTAATAATTAAGTCTGGGCTGAGACTTGACCTTCCATAGTTCTAACAAGCTCCTGGGTGATGCATTTGCTGCTAGTCAAAAGAGCACACAGGTAGTAACAGATGTGTTAGTCTCAGTCCTCTGAGAAGCAAGTGGCAATGAGAAGGAAATGAGGGGAAGAGCAAGAGACCACAATGCARATGTGACCCTTGGGTCACCTTCCAGGCATTCTGGGTATGTACTGACCACAGAGCCTCTGTCAGCACTATGTTCTAGGGCCTTACAGAATGCATGATCCAAAGTATGGAATTCCACACAGCATAGCATTCAACGATGATTTATGACTGCCACCAGGGCACTTGGATTCTTTGTGTCCATAGGCCAAAGACATGAAGGGAAGTCACTCTACTGCCAGGAGTAACTGACCTTGATGAATCATGGGCCCTTCCATGATGGAAAGAGCCCAAGGCAGTTGGCTTCCTCAAGGAGTAGAGCCACACTAGGGGTCAGCATCGGCCTCTGTTGCCAAACCCTGGCATTCCAAGGCAGGAGTGTCTAGGTTTCCTTGGAAACCTATAGGAGAGCCATTGTGCTGGTTCCCACTTGGCCATTGATGAGGGCTGGCTAATGTCAGCAGTGCAGGTCATTTTCCTCCCTTGCTTATTCACTGCCTCCTCTGTGTTGGGTGCTTTCAGGTGAGCATTAATGTGCTACAAAAACACCCAGCATGCTTTCCCCACACACCCACCTCCAGCCACACACCTCTGCCACACCACGGCCCATCTCCAGTCTTCCAGTCCCCTGACCAAACAATCAGGCAGTATAGATACCTACTGCTTTGGACACTTCTTCTTGCACACAGAGCAGACAGCCAAGCACTCTGCTCACTTCTCTACCCCCGGGGGTGAATTTCTCCTGGACAATCAGGGAGACACTGACCATCTTCACCACATTCCCATGTACCAAGTAACCCATCAGTAAACCAGGCCCAGGCTTTTTCCTTTTCTTAGCTGGTTACACAGGACCCTCCATATGTCTTAGGTATAAGGGCTGTAGGGGACAGGCCCTGGCCACCTCCTCTGATCCTGCAAGTTCAATCCCAGCTGCAGTATTTCTATCTCACAATAGACTTGAGGCCCATCTGACTTTACAACTTGATGCCTCTGACAGAACTCAGCCCATAATAGACAATTTGGGGCTTCCTACTTGGTATTCCATAGATAGTGTTCTGTCACCACTAGGGACTATTTCTCAAAAGGTATATAGTAGCTGGGCATGGTGGTGTACATCTGTAATCCCAGCAGCTGGGGAGGCTCAGGAAGGAGGATCATAAGCTCAAAGCCAGCCTCAACAACTTAGCAAGGCCCTAAGCAACTCAGTGAGACCCTGWCTCTAAATAAAATATAAAAAGGGCTGGGTTCAATCTCCAGTACAAAAAAAAAAAAAAACTTATCTAGTCCTCTGCTACTGATGGTGCAGCCTTGCTGCAGGATCCCAAAGGCCCATGTTGTGATTTTGAGTTGGGACTCTCCATCAGCTCCCTGCTACATCTTTCCCCTTTATCACTACTGACATYTCCAACACCACAGAGTCTGCCAAATCATATGACCAACAGCAGGGCTGCTCTCACTGCAGTCTTAGGCTTCCTCAGAGCCTTTCTTGGCAGGGCACCCAGCTTTCTCTGTCACCCAGATTGACATGTTGCCTCAGACCCCAAAGGAGGTTGCCAGGCACCATGCTTTCTTCACTGTGACAAGAGATGCAAGATGCGGTTATTTCTTTTATGTAGGAGGAGGTATCCCAGCATAYCCGACCCCTGAGCCCTTAAAAACTTCAATACAGAGGCAGCTCCTTGAATCTCCATGGCTTTCACACAACACATTAGACTCGATCTCCTACATAATCAGCACGATGTCACGGCTACAGTGAATCAATGTGATGATGTGTGGAATGTCCAGAGGGTCCTCCTCTCTTCGGATGGCACTGTAACAGGGGGAAGAGAGTTGACACAGCTTGAGGCAACTTCTGACAAACACTGTTGTCCATCCCAAGTGAACGTGAACTGTTTCTGATCCTCTTCTCTAACTGTAATAGGAAAGAACACACTTGCCAAATGGCTGCATCCACAAACCCAAAGCCTGATTCATCTTCACCAGCAATGATTCTGCCTCTGACGCAGCAGTTACAGGCAGRGCTCCCCCTTG